TGTGAGATGTGGTGATAGATACTGAGATGTTTATACTCCGATGATCTGGTGATAAGGACAAAAAGCAGTGCAGGTGTTTGACCAGATGATGGTGCTGTGGTTTCACAAAAGTCCTCCCTACTGTAGTAAACAAATTTTTTTGACAAGGCTATTATTGAACTTTCATTCTAGCTAGATACATCAGCAACGTTAGCCCTGCAGTGCTGTGTCACTTGGGACTCTGGGCCATGACTTGCAGTGATGTGGAAAGAAAACTGCTTCCTGCTCCACAGAGCAAGACCACAGAGAAGAATGCCTGGTGCTGCAGCGTCAGCTCTTAAGGGGACTTGGGATAATCTTAACCTTTTGAATGCTCTGTACCGCTGTGTTGTGCGCATGTGATCAGTTCCAGTGTATGGGACAAGTCCTGTGAAATGGTTTGGTACTTGTCCTTTGACCTCTGCAGACCTTGGTGTGTCACGTCTGAGTTGTGTGCTAAGTGCCATGGAAGTAAATAACCCTCAGAGGATGGTCAAGGTACAGCAACAGGGAGCAGTGCATGAGGAACACACATGGTGTCTTTTGGTGGAAGCATCTCAGAGCAACACGGTTCCTACCTAGGCACGATCGTCAAAAGTATCCAAAGCAATCGGGAGCAGAAGCCTCCTGGGTTTTTCAGTGGGAGCTCCTTGTGTTTGTTCCTAGGATCCTGAGTGACCGTGTTACGTGGCTTAGCAAGCAGCTCATCAGCACAGCTTCAACAGCTGACTGCCTGCATAGTCAGTAAACGTGGATGATCTAACTGCCATCCTGTGTCATTAGGTTGTAGATGATAGTATTTTCTTTAGCAGTTTGAGAGCCCTTTGATGATGTTCGGTGATTGCCATCATACTGCTTTTAGCAGAGCCAGGTGAAAAGCTGCATAAGCAGAGCAAGGTCTTAAATCAATATTTTTACTTGATATATGTAGGCAGGTGAGGCTCAATTTACACATACATGGCTTGTTCACTGTTTTTCTGTAATTTTTAAATACAGAGCAGTGAGCAGTGTCAGAGGACTGCAGGTAATTAAGGACATTGCAGTCTCCCTGTGTACAGTACATGGGTATCTCAGCAGTAACTTAAATTTCCCAGCAAAGCTTTTTGCATCCCTGCTGAATTCCTTTTACTGCCTTTAGGGGTTTATCTGTGAGCACTCATGGCTTGTTTAAAATATCTCAACCAAAGTTGACTGTAAAGAATCGCTGGTATCCAGGGAATCGTTTCAAAGGCTGTAGTTTAACAGTTGCAGAGGGGAGTTTATTCTCTTCAAGACATAGTGCCACTGTAACAGGGTAGCACTCAGTTAAGTACACCATCAAATGGTTTTGCCTAATTAGTTTTTTTATTTGATGGCTGGGGGAAACCTGCTAAGAGGAAGACTGTTGAATGCTTACTTGCTTTGTTTATCAGTTCATCAAATAACCTCGCTATTAAGAGTGTTCATTATCAGTCTTAAGGAATTCAGGGCTTGGGCAAAATGTGCTCCCTTCAGGTAGGTTTTCTTCAGTTACAACAGAACTGTGTGAAATTTTGGGTATTTTATGGTATCAGACAGACATCGCTTGAAGTTTTCTCTGGTTGTCTTTCAAACTTGTGACGGCTTTCATCCCTTTATTTTTTCCTTTTGAAATAAGGTTTTCCCTATTTGGGCTGCTTAACTTGTTGAAAACAGGTAGGATAACACAGAGAGAGCAAATTCAAATTAGTGAATACAGCCACAAGGTTATTTGCATTGATTTTGGCATGACCAAACAGAGTTACCTAGTCCAGATTATAAGTGATCTTTAGTTACAATTAAAAAAATTAAGTATTCTATTACAAGTGCTTTGCAAGTCAAACAGTATTTGCTGATTGTGACTGTATAGGTGTTGCCCTGTCCCAGCACGCAGAGGGCCTCCTCTGCCACGTTCTTACATTGCTTGTGGGATCTGTATAGAAATCAAAGAGGTTTCAGAAATACGAGTTGAAACCTCACTGAGAGCTGGAGCTCATTGTGGTTGCTGGAGCACCAGGAATAGCAGGTGCAATCATCAGCCCTACAGCAATCCTAAAAGAGCCTAAAGAGCAAAGCCAGTAATGCTCAACATCTTCATTAGGGAATGTTGTTCTTTTAATAACACTACCAATGTATGCATGTTTTCTGTCATTCCATACTGGAAGTCATAGCAGTGATTTGCTGCGGACGGAAACGAGTGTTTTCTTTAATGTAAAACCCCACAGGAAACTTCTGAACCAGCGGCTGATGCCTGCTGAGATGTGTCTGCAGTCATGCTGATTTAGTTTGGGTGTAACAGGCTATGAGCATTTCAGCATCTTGTTCTAGAAAGATGTAGGGAAGCCAGGTTCTTAAATGGGAAAATTACAAGCAAAGACTGAACTGACATGGTTACTGTAGGGTAGACTAAACCCCATGATCACATTGATTGTTCTACCTGTTGTAATTTGAATTCCGTTTGTCACGTACTGGAAAAGAACTTCTACAAGCAAGTGGCTTCCAAGCAGCTGCATGGCAAGTAACCATTTGCCTTGCATTTGGAAATAAGCCGTTTAGAGGTATACCTTAAATCACTGTATAAAAGAGGTATGCCACTGGTAAATAAAGAAAAAGCGTACAATATATGCTAATAAATGAATGAGACCAGAGAAGTGCCTGCTCTGATCTGTGTATGACTGGAAATGCAGTTTCCAAGAATCACCTATTAACCTACAGGGGAGGTGATTTAAATAAAACCAGAATTGTGCTGGTAATATCTTTCAGTACCAGACAGTAAGACGTGACAGATCGACAACAGCAGCAAAGACTGAAGAAACTTTGCACAGGGCTGGGAGGAGAGAATGGTGGACGAGGAGTTCTGCCCTGATCCGAGGAATTGAGGCTGCTGATAACATTCAGTGCCGTAGCAGCGTGCACGTGCTTTGTATGTAATTTGTGCTGTGGCTGGCATAAGATGCACGTGTTCAGACAAAGTTTTAAAGATATTTAATAAAGAAACCTTTAATTCACTTTTTGTGCTAATTGTCATGGGATTTATTCTTCCTCTGCTCAGAGTTTTCTAGCATCATTAAGTTTCCAAGCTGTGAAAAAGTCTGAATTATGAGAAGAGCCATCTTTAACGGCAGAACCTGGGGGTTTAGTTCAGCTTGGATTAACATCCAAAAAAATGGGTGCTCGCTTGTTCAGATTTACAGTGTCTTAATTCTGATGCAGAAATTGAATTCTTGCAGCACTGGAATTTCTTGCCAGGTGATCCGGTGCTTCCCTCTCTCAAGACTACAGACAAGACATAAGCTGTTTTTCTCCCTTATGCCGCGCTAGTCCTAAATACAGTCTGGAAGTGGAAGCTGGAAATGCAAGAACAAATGGAGGAACAATGAGATGATGTTACTCAAACGTCAGAGGTCTTATAGAAGATTAAGCACACTTTGTACATGCTTTGGTATTTAGGCCTCGTAACATTGAAAAGTGCTTTGCTCTGCTTAATTCATCTGGTAGGTGCAGTTTTCAGGAACGTCATCTTCTGAGTTGCTGTAAGAGTGCACTCCAATTACTTTCATAGCTAAAATAAGAACTAGAAAACACCTGACAGAAGTGTGTAGAAAGTCCATCTCAGCTGGTCACACACATGGACACCAGCTCTCAGCACCATCCTTAGGACTTGGGTCAGGACTGAGTTGGCATGCCTGGTTCTGTGGCACAGCACTGCAGAGAGCACTGTGTGCTCCCACCAGCTGGGGCTTTGTGGTCCTGCCACAGGCCTGAACACGCAGCTGGTATCCGACGTTTGAGCAGAGGGTGTGAAGAGAAAAAGGGCAGCAGCAAACGAGCGGTGCTGGTGGTGTTGCTGCTGGGGTGCCCAGGTGAACGCAAGCGTGCCTGCTTCTGCCTGGCAGTGGTCCCATGCTGGCGGAGCTGTGGGGTGTGGGTCCCAGCAGGGGCCTTGCAAGCCCACCTGCATGGCTCGCTGGCCTCCGTACTATGGGCATGGTGCTCTGACTTTCCAAAAACTTTTGCTGCTGCTTTTTCTTGGTGCTGCCGCTGCTGCGTGTCCATAATAAATTAGTGAATTTCTCTGCAGCTTGCGTCGTTCGTCTGTAAAACATGGATAAATGTGCTGGCTTTGTAAAGTACTTTGGGTGCTAAAAGAAACGCAGGGTGCTGAGTGGCAGCTGGGGAAGTGCTGCAGCTTTCTGTTTAAGGAGTATTGTTATTCTCTGCTCAAATGTAATATGCAGGACTTGTCCCATGAGGTTTTGAAATGCGGGAAGAAGGGAGGGGAGGTCTACTTCCCGGTGACTTGTGACTTCTACATAAAACATTTTCTCAGAACTAATTAAAACTTTGAGAAATCATCAGAACTTAAATGAATCAGTGCTGCGTAACTAACAGCTTATGTTAAAGGCTTTGAACAAATATCCACAATGCATCAGTAAACATGGAAATTACTTTTTCATGTCGGGATGTGTCTCACTACAATGCTGTGCATTGATAAAAGATTTCTCTGCCTCTGTAGCTTTCCATACTTTAAAATTTATTGGTTTTCCTAACCTCTCTTTCGGGCTTTTTAATATATAGAGAAACACTCTTTAAAATGATTTACCAAGCAAAATTGACTGTGCTTCAGCAATAACTAGCAGTTAACAAACAGTGCCTAAATTAAGGGCTGAAACAAAGCTGGGACCAGTTATTTTTCAATCATGGCTGTTAACTTTGGTAATCTCCTTTACAGGGGGTTATTGCAGCTATAAAATATTTTCCCATGGTTATGATGGCAGTTGTAGAGAAGATTCATGACTTGCACAACTTTTCTTGGGCAGTTTGCTCACATGTTTTCTACCTGATGCTGTAAAGTGAACCTCTGCTTGGAAAGGGAGAGTAGGGGAGAATGTTGGATCCAGCAGTGGGTGTAATTAACATCACTGGCTCCTTTTTCATTTTTTTCACAAGCGATAACCCCCTCTTACTTGCCTCGTTTTTAACAGGCTTTTGGATCATTTTGTACCTTCTGTCTGCAATACACACACCAGCAAGCAGCGCCGTTTTGCCTGGTTGTAAGATGGCTGTGAGCCTCCAGCAGCTGGCAGGCAGAACCACTGCACTTGCTCGGTGGGGAGAGGCTGATCTTCGTGGGGCCGGGGACTCTCAGCTGAGTCAGTACAACTGGCTGGTGCTCTGGTGGCTTCCTGCTCCGGATTCACACTAGGTGGCCGTTGACGTCCTTACTTTGTGCTGTGGGATGACACAGACTTGGAAGGACTCTGCAAATTCAGTAAGTAATGCTGTTCACAGCACTGCAGTTATGCCTACTTGGGCTGTATGCGTCTAATCCTTCATTTCCTACAGGCACACGTGGACTTTTCAGAACCTCTTTATGGTTGCCATCACTTCCTGGTTCTTTTGTGGTGCTTTTTGGTAGCTGAGGACATTCTTTCTGTGTGTGTAAGAGCGCAGCTCCAGAACAAAATGTCTGCTGATGAAAAATCTCCAGTTTGAGCTGGCCACCCGTACATGGTAGTATGAATGTTGTGTGTCTGTGTGACAGTTGCTGTCTTTGTTGGGATTTCCAGACTGAATCAAAGGCCACCAAAAGAAGTGTGAACTGTCAGAGAAGAGGACGGGCATATTTCTTAAACAGGGAGTGTCACTGGTAATGGACCAGGGTGGATTTGGCTTGGCTCTTTCAAAACCAGTGTATTGTTGTGTAAACCTGAGGAAGCCAGAAATCAATGCAGCTTGTTCTTAACCAGTGCTGCATTGTATTGGCTTAATTTGTTAGGGCCATGTGCCAGCCTGTAGGGAACCAGGACGGTATTAGTGCAGTGGTACGGGCTGGACGCTGACTGCTGAGTTATGTTTTATGCACATCACGTTGCTTCTGTTTCCAGGCCAGTGTTTTCTGCCCTCGCAGCGGGATGCTTTTGAGGCTGTCCTAGAAGCATTTAAAAGAATTCCAACGCTTTTGCAGGGGTGGCGAATGATATCCTGGGTTAATGCAGTGATGAACTCGTATCACAACATCACAGCATTTTAATGGGAACAAGAAGGGAGAGGTGGAGTGGGGCAGGAACTTCTGATGCTGGCTCTGCCACCAAGGAATACATGTTATGTAACTAGACTCTGAAAATTAAATGTTACGCTTCCGTGCTCTTCTTATTCGGCATCCCTTAATTAAAAGCCTCTTTCCTTTGGTTCATAGGTTCAAAACTGCTTAATGATGTTAAACAAACAAACATCTGACCAAATTTCTATCTACCAGATTAATTTTTAATAGCTTAATGAATAATGGCATATCATTAAGGGTAGATAGTGTGTTTAATCTCAAGTAAGACTTTTGGAGTAGAAATGAGTGTCTTTCTGGGATATTGTGGATTTCAGCTTGTTTTAAAACAACAAAAACCAAAAGGCAAGAAATGGTGGATTTTTCTTTTTTTTAAAAAATGTAGATTTTGCAACTATTCTGCCACAAAACATGCATTCCTTTCCTAACTACCCTCTACATAAAGAAATGAAAACGAGCATGGAACAACCATATTTCTGAATGATGGAGCAGAAGAGCTGAAAAGTATTCATACACTTCAAAAGTTGGGTATGAATGAGTTTTTGTTCAGACGTAGTTATAAGAATATAAACAATATCGTGCTTAGATTTGTAGGGCAGTGAGGATAAAAAGATCGGTGGCTTATGTAAACTAACTTCAGCTAATTAACACAAGATGATGGCATTTAGTTTCTCAGTCGTTTTCTGATACCCCTTGGCTCAGCGTTTGCCTGACTAATGCCAGACATTGTTGCAGCCAGTGCTGATCCAGCTCTCAGAGCCATGATCAGACCCCTTTGTAGCGTGTTCCAAGCTTTGCTCGTTATTGTGGCGGGTGGGTGGGTGGCTGCTGTGGCTGGGTTGTTTGCTCCGTGGGCTGTGCTCCGCTTAATGGAAGAGTGCTGCCCTTGGGCTCCTGTGGAGAGGGATCCTCAGTGTTTGTCCTACTGCACTTGGTTTGTGAAGGAACTACTTTTTTCTTTAATAGGCCAGAGAGTAAGGAAGAACCTTTTTGTATGCTTTACATGGAGCACCTTGTATTAGATTTTATGTTAGGTTGTGTTTTGGTAGGAGTACTCAGTTTTGGTTAAGATTTCTGCATTAAGCTCAGAAACATGCTGTGCTGGCCTTTGCATGTGCTCTTCGTGTTCCCACATCCCCAGTTTTCAGTTTTATGTAATTGAAAGTGAGTTTGTGTGGAGAAACCTCAGCCGCTCTGGGGTTCTGTGAAGTGGCTGTGGTTTTGCTGTGCATAGCTGGAAGCTTGGTGAGTTTGCTTTCTTTCAGGACAGTTCAGAAAGGAGAAATAAGAAGTGTTTTGTTTGTTCCAAGGAGAGTTTTCTTAAATTGCATATATTTTCAAAGAAATTTTGTACTTATTTTAGTGAGCTTAGATGGTTAGTCTAAATAAAAACAGATATAACAACACATACATAGGGTAACATCATTGCCAGAAAGGTGATTGCATGCTCGCAGAATAGCACCATGTTGGGTTCTTTTTTCCTCCTACCTTTCAGAATCAAAGGAGTGGCTTCTCCCTTAGTTCTAAGATCTTCTTAGAAACAAAAGCTGATTTAACCAGTTGATTCTATTAACTGTGTCCTGATTTAAAAAAAGAAAAAAAAAAAAAAAGTGCTGTGAATCATAAGCTTGTGAATAAGTGCTTGCAGGCACTGTTGTTGCTGCCCTGCCTTTCTTAATCACACATGCACCTCACAAGCTGTTTAGCAGAAGCTTGTCCCTTCTTTCCCAGTAGGACTCACTGCACAGAGAACACTCTACTGGCTAGAGCCTCCATTTTCAGGTTCAAACCCCAGGTATGTACATCCCTCTAATGTAACACGATGCAACACACCTCGAGCTTTTTCTGCTTGCATGTGTATGACCACCATTAACCTTCAATATTTTGCCCAGTCAGGCTGCTTATACCTGCCATGTTCCGTATGGAAAATGCTATTCCAGACACAGGACTTCAGCACTTCATACATTTGTGTGTGACTGTTCAACTTGTCACGATTGTCAGTTCCCAGGCTCTTTCCCTCGCATTACACTGGTGAACTGGAACTCTGATAAAGGAGTTACGTACAGTGATGACAAGAATTGATTTCCAATTTCCTGTAGAATGACTCTATCATTGCTTGTGACTCAGGCAATTTAGCTTATATTACAGTGCTAGCTAGGGGCTATAGATCACCCTGACAGTCATCTAGTCACGGAGCATGCTGATTTTGACAAGATATTGAAAGAGATTTTACGAGAGTTTCCGTTGTGAAACAGCTTGAAGTGCGGTTTTCTGTTGGATCGTACATAAAGAGATTTTGTCTGATGCAGAGTAAAAGTATTGGGTGCAATCTGATTTGTCCTTTTGTACTCTTTGCAGTTGTAAATTGTTCAGCCCTCTCATCTTGAAGCTTGTCTGGAACATGCAAATGTCTGCGTCAGGTTGGACAGAAGAGCCAGGATCTTTTAGAGAGTGCTTGGTAGCAGATGCTTAGGGAGAGAGGGTAAGAAATGAGGCAGAGGCACGAGTAGCCCTTTCCTGGCTGTGCCCTGGCAGATTCAGCTGTCAGTGGAGCCTTGCTGGGCTGTGTGAAAAGCTCTATAGAGAAGTAGATGGCATTTCTGTCCTCATTCAGGAGTTCCTGGTGCGAAGCGATGCTCTGATTTGCTCTCTTGCTAGTGGAAGCTGCAGCAGTCAGCTTTTCAGTCATCTCGGCATCTTTTGACAGTGCTGACCTGCGGCTAGAGCCGGATGGGAGTTCACTGTCCTGTTGCTAATACCCCCTGCTTCAAGCATGCCCTTGCTCAACTGTGTCACCGTTAACTTAATGCAGGGTCCCCATGACAGCTGAGGTGAAGCGTGAGGGGCAGCGAGTGATGTGGTCTTCTGGGCCATGTGGTTATAAAGAGACGGGAGAGGGCTTCGTCTGGGAAGGTCTCCCAGCTTCCCAGCTGCGGCACTCAGAGTGCTGCTCAGCCTGAGGGGGCCGAGTGCTGCTGTGGGTGTACTCCCGGAGGGCTCGGTGGAGGCAACAGTACTGCAACAGTAACACACCCATTGGGTCGGAGATGATGCTGTGGGGCAGTCTCTTCTGTTCGTATAAAGCAGCTCACTTTCTAGGTGCTCTGCTGAGAACGATGCTGTGTATTATTTTTTTCAATGTTTTGGGCACTCATGTTCCATCACTCTAATATCCAGTCGCTTTGCACTTCATCATCACAAACACATCAGGAATGGGAAAAGCTGACATCCTCACGTCACTGCTGGCAGAATAGGAATGTAGAGCAAGGATCGTAAAGTAGCTAGTCACCAGAAGGGATGTGGAATTCTTAAGCTGCAGTAACTTCTAACCTCCCTCCACGTTTCTTTCTGCATCTTTATTGAAATGTCCTGAAATATTAAAGGCTTCCTATTTCAGTTAAGCCTCAAGTACTTTTGAGAACTGACATGTGGTTTCTTCCCAAGAACCTCATGAGCCAGGGAATTAAACTTGGTGTTCATACAGTCCTAATGGCATCGTGATTCTGCCTTCACGTCCTCAGGTTAAATGGAGCAGAAGTAGCCATTGCTTGTCAGTTTTGCCAAAACTTTTTCTTAAAGAATTAATAAAATGATAAAGTTAGAATTCAGGCTTGGCCAGGCTTATACAAAATGAGGCACTGAAATACTCAACCCGCTTAATCCTTAAAAACAGGAGCCAGACATAAGTCTCTGAAGTGACTTCTTAAGTTAAACCAGTTCTCTTTCTGTCTTTAAATATCAGTCTAGAGTTTCACATTCCTCAGATTGTCAGATAGGCTGAAACCTAATGAGAATAAGCTTAAAGTATTGGATTTTTAATTGGATTTTCAAATTCAACACGTATTGTAAAGTGACCATTATGAAAGTAAACCATGCCCTCATCTTAAGCTCAGAAACAAATTGTTTTGAAGGTTCCTGAGGACAAAGATTAAGACTTTAGACGGAAGGGATAGCAAGCGTTCTTGCTTCTGTCCTGATGCACTAGGGAAGTATTTATGAAGTATTCAGACACTGCTAACAGGCACAACAGCAACAGCAGTTTGGTTTCAGAGCTTCCACCTCATTGAGAAGTCTGTGGTGTGGAGCTGTGGGTGGGAACTCCTTTTCCTATTTTAAGTATTGCATTTTAATTATATTCCAGGTGCTACCTGAATTTAGGTGAAGTTCCTTGGGAACTTGGACTGTTAAGTTTTGCAGCAGATGCCATTTTTTCTTGTTGTTTAAATTGATTTATTTTTTTGCTCTTCTTCCTGGGGTTATAACAGTCATAACAGACACAGCCCAAGAAAATGAGATCTCATAGCAGCTTCATGAGGAAACAGCACTTGTAACGGAGGTAAACTTTATCTAAAAGGTAAAGTTTATCTACTTGATGATTAAAAAAAAAAAGTTTAAAAAATTTACATACCAGTTTTTACATCCCAATTTTTACTGTAGCAGTGGGCTTCCAATTTTGGAGTAGTGATTATTCAGATTTTGTCATTGATTTTTGGTGTAGGCTTTTGAGGTGGAAAGAGCTACAGATCTCATTGGTTTTGAAAGCTTTATGTGGATGTTGGGTGGTTACAGTACGTGACACTCTGAGAAGTGCACAGTCCCAGGAAGCTTCGTTCTAAATTTACCCAAGCCTATCTTAAAAAAAAAAATTAAAAAGTTTGGTTGTTAACTCACTGTTCCTGTTGTACATTAATCTTTATTTGGCAACTGAGGTTGGGAAGAAGCAGACTGGAAAAAAAACAATCTGCAAATGCTCCGTGCCCTTGGTGCCAGGAAGGGTCTGCAGGCATACGCAGCGCCCCGGCTGCACAGACAGAAGGGGCCGGGTAGCAGCAGATCTGAGTGGTGCCTGCGGTAATTAGTACATCAGAGCATACTGGTTGTTCTACAAAATGCAATGACACTTTATTTATTTTTCCCCTGACTTAGTAATTAATGTTTTGAAAACATTGAAGAAATGTAAAATTCTCAGCAAGTGGTAAATGCTATTAATTGTAACCACTGAGTGGGTTATTGCTTGGCTTTCACCTGGTCCCCTTCCCTCTGGACAAGGACCAGGGGACGTGCACCTTCAGGGTAACGGGGTAGCTGTCATGCT